GCATTTTTTTCTTACTTAATGCCCGTATTAGCAGAAGTCAGCTGTCAGATTCCTTGAACTGTGAGACGCTCGACGAGACGGTTACGAAGAAGACGAAGAAAAAGCGACGTCGAAAAAGAAGCAAAAAGGCATACGATTTTGGAATGAAACGGCGTCGAGTCGCTACCTCGTCTCACCGGCATACGGAATCAGAGGAAGCGAAGAGCGACGAAGAATGGTTAGCATATATTATTTTTTAGGTTTTGCAGTAATTATTATAGGGCAGTTGTAAATATCAGTATAATTGTTGCTCCAGGTAAATTCAGTTTCTTTTCTTTCTCTTAGATTATTCATTTTCCTATGCCATTAATTTCAGTGTTTGATTCCCCGTGCGCTTATTCTAGAGTTTGGGAAACAGGGCGGCTTAGGAGATTTTTTCAACTGTGACCCTCTATTAATGGGGCAGATGTTTATCTTACTAAGGCGAGTAAAATTCGTTCGTATGTTATAAATGGTGTCAGCTAATTAGTGTGTTATTCTTTCTGTTCAACTGGGTTTCATGATTATTGGCACATCTTCCTTGTATCTAAGGACTATTGAGTAAGTAAGTTAAAAATTTTGTTACGTTACACAGACGAACACGGAGGACGTTATTATGTTTGAGCATCTGCATCTAGGTGCTGTAGTTGTCCAAATGTTACGGAGCCTTAACTTGCTTACTTCAAATGAGTTTTGAGCAGTTATTGTTGTTAGTATTAACTGACGTGATGTTTTAGTGAAACCTCAAATGTGTGTTCAAAGTTGCGGCCAGAGCTAGTGGTCAACACTAGTGGTTGTAGTACACCTCACAATCTCACCGCAGACCCAGACGATTCATCTCTTTCAGAAATGGTAAAATGCATTTATCGCTCGCGGGACGACGATGACAGCCTTATGAGTTCTGAGGACGTAAGCGTGTGTTGTTTGCCATGATGCCGTGATTGTGATCTGCCTACAGATGGAAGTATCGTCTCGCGGTCGTAGCTTTGTCAAAAAAGAAGTTGACAGTCTCAGCGAAAAACAGCGATCGTTCACCGATTCGCCGATCAGCGCTTCGTTCACTGAGGACCTACGTCCTTATCGAACGAGGAACAGCCAGTTGAAGTTGAAGTCAGAAGTGTTGTCTGAACCGAAGATGAGACCTCTCTCTGCGACCCCTTCTTCGACGACTGCCGCGGCCAGCGACCAAGAATCGGCAGATGACCGAAGTTGGGACCAGGAACTACTGCAACCGCCAACTAAAAGTCGATGGCACTTGCGCTGTTCAACGCTAGATGATTGGAAGCGTCTAACCGAGATGTTCAGCGGATCTTCCACCAGCGCCGAACGTCGGTTGCATAAAATGCTGGCGAAGGACTTTTTGCCGGCGTTGGAAGACATGTTCATTCAGAAGGTACTCCACTAAGTTTGAAAACAGAAATACAACAGTGGTTTCACGTCCGTGCTATTTTCAGGAGAAGGAAGCCGCCTACAAAGCACAGGAGTTGACAAAGAGAGTGTCAGATCGCTTAGAGATGAAAAAGTTGAAGAAAAGGCAGGAGGTGTGTTGACATTTGGCATGACGATGCCTTAGGCAAATTTTAAGGGTTGTAAAAGTAAGCTTTATTTTTTAGATGGCCGAAAGGTCCCGACGGGAGGCAGAAGAAAGACGACGTTTGGCAGCTTTGCAAGAAGAACGAAGAAAGAAAGAAGAAAGTGAAAGGCGTGAGGCGAGACATCAAATGCGGGAGTTGGAGAAAGAAAGGCATTACAAAGTCAAGCAGCATGCCGCCGAAGGTGAATCGGTGTTCCAAGTTGTTTTTTTGTGTTTATTCGCTCAGATATGTTTTTATTTATAGCTTGCTTACCTCTTACTTGATCAAAGTAGTTCGCAATATCGCTGACCTATTATCTGCAAAGTCTCGGCGAAAGTCAGATGCGAAATTGTTGTAGCATCATATACGTGCGTTCTGAGTCTAATCATGTCTTCAGGGTGAAGCTTCCGTCCAGCAAGGTAGTGCCAGCTTTAGCAAAGCATACGGTAGAATTAGATGTATGTGATACCGCTAAAGTTTCTGCGATGACGACAGCTTCCTGTTTCGTCTAACCTGTGCCTGAATTTGTTGTATGTTAGATTTTCAGGAACATCGGAAAGATGGAGTGGCCAAGAACCTAAGATTTAGCCAAATAGAATTCAAAAGATGGTTACTCGTGCAATGGTCACATTATTTCGCCCTATCGAGACGTTATATACCATAGATTCGTCGATTTCAAAGCCGTCTTTTGAACCGATAGTCATGCCTTTTTATGAGAACACTTCTAAACTGTGCCACGAACATCGTACAACAACTGTCGAACTGTGCCGTGAATGCAAAAGATGCACTATCGAACTGTGTTCGTAGTCTGAAGCGGTGTTAAGCAAGACGACGTTTGCACTGCGATGTATTTTGGCATTGCTCTCAGTGGCATGATCAAGAAAAGCACATTCCATAACGCATAACTAGACCAACCTTAAGTCGAAAGCATAGCTCGATGTATCTCATAGATCTCGATCACGTGAACGATTTTATTATTTTCATAATGATACCAGTGATCGACACCTGTTGTTGAAATCTGTTTCGAATTACGTAGCCTTCACTATAACTAAATGAGAAAGAAACTGACGACGAACGCATAAGGAAGAGTGGTTGCATACTTTTCATTTCATAGAATTCCATAGATAAACCGATCTTTTCAAGTACTCAGACGGATCATCAATGTGACCAAAAGTCTACTTAAAAATTGCTCTTGCTGCTTCAGTATGTGGGAGTCTAGCGAAAATACACTGTGATTATAGCATGGATTTGACGAAGAAAGGTAAGTTCTATGCATCCTAGATATTTTCAGTTCTTCTCTGCGTTTCAAAAACACAGTATATTGAAAGCCCATAAGGGCAGCAGGAACTTCCAGCGAGAGCGTTCACCCAGTTATTCAACCATCAAGGGATTTTTTCAAGGTAGATCAGATGTTCGATCGCCCTCAAGGCTTTGAGTTCATTTTATTTACTTACTTGCACTTTAATCGCAATCTGCGTAGTGCCGGGTCCAATATTAAATCTAAAGATTAACATTTTGATGTATCTTTTAAAATAACAGTTTCATTCGTCATAATCAGGCTCTCTGCAAAAGTGTTATCTTTAGAACGGAAACGTCGCCTCGAACTCTGGCAGAAGCGAAAGGAGGTGCTGGAGGTAGAACGAAAATCATCTTCGTCATCTGACACGATGATGGATGAAAAAGAATTGAACGAACTGTAAATATTAGCCTAAATGCCTATGCGGGCTGATTTTTAATCACAATCATTTATTTGTTTAGGGATATTCAACTAGAGTTCGAAGTTATGTATGGACAGATGGAAAAACGTAAAGCCGCAATAGCTACCGTTTGTAAACCCCGTAAATGAATTTCTTTCTTATTTTAGTCTTAAATTACGTCAGAAGAGATGCGGATGCTTGGCCATTCATGGAACCGGTCACAGCGGACATTGCTCCTGATTATCGTGACATCGTTCAAGTACTGATTGTAAATGCTAAGTAAATTAACTCTTGTTAGTGCAATATTGTTAAATTTACATTTTCAAATTTATATTTTTTGATGGTTCAAGGTAGCATGGGGTTTATTTGGTTGTTCAGTCGATAAGTCATTGAATTCGGGGTTGAGAGGTACCGAGTTCAAACCCCGGTTGAGTAATCCAACTTAATTCCTTTCGAGGTTGATAAATGAGCACCACTGTGAAAATTAAACAGGAGACTTTACCCTATGCTTTCTCTTAGTTATGGATTCTGCCTTTAAAATATGTCTCTCGTGGCTGATGGCGTAGAAACGGGGTAGTTCTAGCACCCTTGATTTTATAAAGTTGATGGTGGGGGTTCGGATCTCCACTTGCATGTCATCAACCACGAGTGTCTTATATTTAAGAGCAGGATCAACAGCAGCTATGCGACAAGCGTAATGTCTGTTCGTTTGTTTCCTTTCCACTCATTTATCTTAGTGGTACTCCTTTATCAACCTCAGCAGGAAGAAAGACTAGTCCTGACCGGGTCTCGAACCCAGAACTTCTCGGTTCTGAGTCTAACGCCCTATTGAACCAAGTGATTCCGGTCTGCAAGTGTGGTAAATTTCTCACTCAAGAGAATTCATGGGAAAGATAAAGATCGCCCTCCGCCGGAAGACGGACTCTTGCGCGCTGTGCCCCCACGCCAAAGATTGGTTGGAGGCACACCATCTGGCTGACCTTTCAGACATTGCTGTAGAAGGAATGTGAAAAGAGTTCGGCGGTTGTGGAACATGCAGTAGAAGAACGACGCTGCATATTATGCGACCAAATGAAAGGAATGCATTGGGAAGAAATTCTTAAGCTGGAACTCAAAGGGAGTCCTAGTAATTCTGTCGAACCCATACATAAATAGGGACATTGGTATGAAACTAAGTTACCATCGAAACGAAATTATGAAACACCTGACACTGTCGAGGCTAAAGCCTCCGGAGTGAAAATTATAGATAGAACCGAGTTTTACTGTGACATTCTGTTTTGTAGTATGTCTGTCCCAGAAAACTGATCGAATATGATCTGAAACGTTGGACAACATGATAGATAATAAATTCGATATAAGGTATTATTTCGTGTAAGATTTTTTTAACATTGAGCTAAATTCCCTCATGACAGACTCCACCTCCGTTTTTAAAGACTATACATTTTGTTACAGATGATCATTCTTAATTCAGAAATGTTATTGGTAGATAATCTTAAAATG